TACTCATAATGTAAACTCAATGTCTGAGGTGGCAGTGGAGTGAGTGAATCCGGCGAGTTTAAGGTTCGGTTACTTCCTCGCTGACGTGGAAGACATACTGGCGCAGATTTACGCTCTTTTGATCTGTATAATAATAATAATAATAATAATAATAATAATACATTTTATTTATATAGCGCTTTTCATAAAACTCAAAGACACTTTACATTAAAATCATCATACATAAAAGCAATACACTAAAAACATAAAATACACAATAGTGGTCACACATTAAAAGCAGTTTTGAACAGGTGGGTTTTGATCTGCGATTTGAATATGGAAAGTTCAGTGCAGTCTCGGATGTGTTTGGGGAGAGAGTTCCAGAGGGAGGGGGCAGATATGGAGAAGGCTCTGTCACCCCATGTCCGGTGCTTGGTCCTGAGTGGAAGAGACAGGAGGTTGGCATCAGAGGAGCGGAGCCGACGGGATGGAGTGTGGTGGTGAAGCAGGTCGGTGAGGTAGGAGGGGGCCTGATTGTGGAGGGCTTTATGAGTGAGGAGAAGGATTTTGTATTGGATCCGTTGTGGGACGGGGAGCCAGTGGAGGTTCTGGAGAACAGGGGTGATGTGGCCGCGGGAGCGGGTGTGGGTGAGCAGGCGAGCAGCAGAGTTCTGGATGTACTGGAGTTTATTTAGGATTTTGGATGATGTGCCGTGGAGAATGCTGTTGCAGTAGTCAATTCTTGAGGTGATGAAGGCGTGGATCAGAGTTTCAGCAGCAGATGAGGAGAGTGATGGGCGGAGATGGGCTATGTTTTTTAAGTGGAGAAAGGCAGTTCTGGTGATTTGTTTGACGTGGTGTTCAAAGGAAAGGTTGCTGTCAAACATGACTCCGAGGTTGCGGATGTGTGGGGAGGGAGACAGAGTGGAGTTGTCGATGGTGAGGCAGAAGTTGTGACTGGTTTCAGCATCTTTAACAGTAATGAAAAGCCTCACAAATCCGAGTAGCTGCTTGGATAAACACACAATTCATACTGAGCAAATGAATGACCTGATTGATATGCACAGGAGCAGTAATCATTATCTAGCCAGCTCATGAGCATTATGCTCATAGCCTACGAGTAAACAAAGCACATGAAATCACTTTTTGTCAATTAGCTCTTTGAGAAGTGATCCAGAGAAAAAATATAGTGATCGTGCTGTCGATGGATGAGGAGCGATGGTCTTTATCCTCGCGCCTTACCAAATTATTGCTTAATCACTTAGCAAAGAAACTATACATTGAGAGCATATGCACATGACAAAGAGAACGCGGAGGGGAATATTTACCGGCAGACGTCGAATTAGACGTCTCAGTTGCATTTAAGGATAAATTAACAACAATAAATCTGAGTGAAAAGATTTTTTTTTTTGACTCATCTAAAGTAAAGTGTTCACCAACTCTGAGAAACGCTATGTTCGTTAGACGTGGGTCTTGCTCAACCCATGAGGGAACTACATGTAGAATCACCCTCCGGATATAATCCATCTTATAGATGAGCCAGTATTACAATACAGAAATATAAGAGTTGTGATACAGGGTGACACTCATTGTCATCATAATTGAATTAGGCAGAATATCAGCAGATGTTCAGAATCTCTTCATCCATTGTTTAATTACCTGCAAGGATAAAACAATGAGGCGGTGTACGCTTTGTGAAAGTGCTCTGGATCTGTCCTGCATCAGCAATGCAGAACTCAATACTGCAGTACAGCAGAAGTAATCCCCTCAGAGGTGAAGCAGAAGTGCAGCAACAGCGCAGTGCACGTGTGGAAGAGGTGACTCTGCTGTTCAGGCTCCCCTTTGTATATGTATCTAGCGGCCACAATTAAAACAAAGACCTGATGCCTTCCTCCCATGACGTGTGCTCTTATCACACGACACAGATGTCTGAGCGCATGCCAGCGGGCTCAGTTCTGTGATGAGAACTCCTAGTTATGCGCGGTGGCACCCGGTGCGAGCGCCGGCTTCCGAAGGGCAGACGGATAAATTATTCAGCCTGAAGTTTTGCATCAACACGGCTCAGATGGCATCACATGAGAGGGATTAATTTATGCAACATCCATGAGAGGGACGAGGAGATGTCTCCGAGCCATGGGTTGAGTGAGAGGTGCTCATATGCATGTGGAGAGGCAAATCAATAATAGAAGAAATGCTAATTGCTAAGTTAATGTAGATGCTGACATCTTTGTACTCGAGATGCAGGTGTTGAAGGAAAAAAACAAAACAATGCCTCACTGACCGCTTCTACTTAGCCTGTTGACTGGATTTTGATCTTGTGTGAAAAGTTTTGAATCCTATTTAAAAACAATAACTCTGCTTATTAAGTCTGAGGCAACAAAGAGTGTCCCAGCTAATAAACTAAATAAAATGCATCGCTCTCTTAGTTCTGTTATTGAGGGATGTTATTGCTGATGTGTTCTTGAAGGCAATCAACTTTAATCGTCGCAGCGGACACAAATTAGTTCAAGCACAACATGTGTTGATGGCTAATAAATAAGGAGTATTTTTTAATTAATCATTTGTCAACAGTGCACCGGCCACATACGTGGTCACCTCTTTGTTCGCCTGACTTTGACGATGCTGGCATTACTGAATAGACATCGTTTGACTGACACGGGGAGCATTAACAGGCCATTAGCATTCCATGACATTTTCTCATCTGCCGATAAAGCAGCGGCGGCCCTGTAAACAAAGTGCTGTGTCGGTGCATGGCAAGGAGAAAAGGGAATAGAACGTAATGTAAAACGGCATTGTTCAGTGGTTGAGATACCAGGTGTGCATTCTAATGCGGATCTACAGGGCAACTCTCTGGCTGGCTGAAACAAAGGAGGGGGACGATAAGGGAGTGGATGAATGGGACATGCAGCAGGGTAATTGAAAGTGCTTGGGATTTTAAAGGCCAAATGCGACCAGGGGTTATCAGCCGCAGAAACAATCTGAATTTTTTATGGGAGTGACTTATTATCCGGACAAAAAGGAGGTTTGCTCCGCTTCACAGAAGGCTCACTGGATAAAACAAGATCATAAAGGCCACAAGCAAACTTTAGGGAGCTTTTAAAGAACTGTAAGATTACTTTTAGCACCTTGTGTGTAGGAACAACGTGTGGATTGTGTACTCAACACCCTTTTGAATAAATGTGCTCCAGTTACCAACCGTTCCCTTCACAGTAATTGTCTGTGTAATGTGGTGTTGATGTAATTATTTTTTCATGAATCTGCACAAACTAAATGAGATCACCACTTGGATATTTGTAAAGAGGCTTAGATCATCGCTTCTACAATGCAGGGCAAAACAAACCTGGAGATACAGGCGAGAGCTGCAGAAATTCCCGTGTTTCTGATCGCTCGTCAGAGATTGACGCTGAAAAAATGATTGTTGTGACAATGAAATGTTTTATCGTGTGAGCATGTTGCACACAGTCACACACGTGTGCGCCCACACATCACAGCCATAGCATTCTCTAAATTGGTGGGCAGCCTTAGGAAAGCCCTGAGGCTAAAGAGAGACTGATGACAAAATCTGCATAAAACAATAACATTCTCCCGCTGTTCCCTCAGGGAACAGTGCTGAAAAACAACAAAATCTGGCTCCTCCAGTCCCGGTAAAGAACTTGCCTATCAGGGGTATGGACGCAGCTAGGCCCCGGGGAAAGCTGGCTGTATGAGATTGCCTATTAGCCCCTACAGCAAGGCCTTGTTGTGTGCAAAAGCCAAAATAGTGTAAAGAGATCATCCTGACATGCATTACTTTATTTGTCAGTATTGTATAAATAGCAGAATGCAGCCTGGTCTTTTAATAACCTTTGGAAATTGTTAGAATATCTTTACAGTTAAAGCTTGGGTTACATTGGAGAAACGCAAGATTTTTTTAAATAAACTATACCAAAAAGTCCAGCCCCGTGTTGCCAATTATTTTCTAACAAAAGTAGCTAGCTACAATAGCTCCAAAATTATGCTTATGAATGTAAACACATCAGAATAAATGTACACATGACACTATTGTTAGTACTCACAGGTGTGAAGCTAGCAGCTTGAGGAAGACTCCGGTGACACGCAATCCTGTACTGCAAATATGACGCTATAGACTTACCTACATGATTTAAGATTGGCCTTTCTTCATCGCCAGATGGCAAATTGGGTTTAGCTTAGCATGAAGCATTAGCTTAGCTTGTTTCTTGCAAAAAAAAGTTTCTGTTCTTTTCTCTCCAAGATTGAAACCTGCATTGTTTACATCCATGCTTAGTAACGCGCAATCTTCATCTTCACCGCATTTGTCGGCATTTGGTGGGTTTCTTGAAACGATACGGCCACCTGTGGATCAGTGGCACACACACAGATGGGATCAATGCATAAAACTGTTGCATTGGTGTTCAAAAACTCCACAGGCAACGTTTTTTTACATAAAATGTTTGAACTTGTGATTATTCAAATAATAATAAAAAGTTTGTGGGTTTTCCTGTATGTTTAGCACATCAAAGAGGAAGAAAAGTCATTTCAGGCTGTGAACAGCAGCTTCTGCTCTATAAGCTTTCCTCAGTCTGGAGGCCCCTGCTGGCTAACCTTTGGATGACTTTCAAGCCCCTCCGCACAGCATTGTTATTCCTCCGTCTTTCCCTCTGATGTCCTTTTCTTGCTACAATCACTCACATGCTCTCAACTCTGAGAGGACAGCGAGCATGCTAGCTCCTCAGAAGGAGCACAAACTGGGGAGTACTGTCAAAAGAACAATTTGCACAACACAAAATCTTCTGTTTCCAGCCCTTTGAGTGGGAGACAGGTGGTCACTGTGGGAATACCTTGGCTTTCCCTTTGAAAAACTGTGGGGACAGAAGTGTCAAGAACAGGCAAGCCACAGAAACAAGAGGGTTTGTGTGAAAGCATTAAGCTTATAATATGGAACATTGTGTTCTATTCTATTGCACTTTACTATGTTCTAGTCTCATGCTGTACGATGAAAAATGTATTTGACACAGCCCATAAAATATTCCTTTTCTTTATTTTTTCATTAGTTGCAGGTATGGCACAAAAAATGGGTGATAAATCCAAAGAAATACAGTGAAAAAAAAGCCTGATCATATATAAATATAGAGCACAAAACAGAGAAGAGTGACAGGTCATCATTACAGGGTGTCGGCACACAACAAGATAAATAACATCACTCAAACACAGCTTTCTCAACAACCTTGATGTTATAGCATCAAATCTCATTATTTCCAGGAGTCTTTTAAAATGTGAGGCGGGGGGGGGGGGGGCGATTTCCCTTCATTTTGTCATCCTGCTGCACCGATGGTAAATAACTGGACAAGTAAAAATGGAGTCTGTGTGCGAGCAGTCATGCTGCTGCTCCTGCCTGGCCTGTGATTCCATCGAGAAGTAGGGAGATTCACTCCAACACGGGAAACAATAAAGTACCAAGAGGTGGCAGTTTCCCCACTGGTAAAGTTGTCACACTCAGCAGCCATGCCATCAAATAGCGGCATACTGCTCCTTCCCTGACAGAGTAAAATGAGATCTCTGAGATGTGTCTACCTCTCCCAGTTATTTAGTGAGACTGCAGTCAGCCTCCTGTCGAGAAGTCCCTCACTACAGCCATAGCCACTGTGTGAAAGTGAAAGAAACTCACCGCATTAAGACGGCTATTTTACTCTCGAAAACACATTCAACACAGTGGTAATGTTTCAGGTTTAATACAACAGACATTTTGTTCCTATTTGAGACCCTCATAAGAACACTTTTCTGACTGCCAAATTCAATGCGACTGCCAATTCTGACGTTTCTGGTCGCACCTAACCACAAAGCTCCCTCCCCCACTGTTGGCACCAATTTTCTTTGCTTAATCAATAAAGCAGGGTGTGTTTAGTGATAACTGGGGCTACCGGTTGGAATTATATCACGCTAGTGGAACTGAATGGTTATTCAGGGTGCTAAAATAGCGCGATGAATGGCACAATGTGACAAAGCCCTTCTTAGGTTGAACAGAAAATGAGAACATTTCCACTCAATAAGAAATGTTGGGACTGTTCCTTTTAGAGACCCTTGAAGCACTAGGTATCAAAAAATTAAAATACATGGTAAGACTAACACTTTACCAGGTAATTATAGCTGTAACCAAGTTAGTAAAATGTGAAAGTTACAGCTGAAAAAACACCTTTCAAGAAACTACATTACAGCAGCATAACAGAAATGACTTCAAGCCACAACTTTTCCACTTGTGGGTTATAATATTACAAAGTATGCACTTTCTAGGAATTAAGGCAATACTTTGTTTTAAATTACATTTCCTCACATAGCAACTGGTCATGGTTCAACTCGCATGGATAGGTTTAATCAAATTCACCACAGAACCTGGGAAAGTTTCAGCACGCTGCATGTTGCACCAATTATGTTCAATCTACAGCCTGCACAAACCCTGACAGACCACATCCTTTCATGCTACAGTGCCTCCATTTTAATGGTATTAATGTAAGCACCGGGTACATTCATCCACAACTGCATAATTCCTTTGTGTATTTGTCAATTTTCACAAAGGATGTAACAGCATTGAGTCAAGACCTTGTTTGTTTCCTTGGTCCTTCTCAGTTCAAGACCAACGTGCACCCCGTCATTAATGCTACACAAAGGCATCAACTCAAACGTGACATTTTCTCAGTAAGGAAGGTGGACCTGCATTTAAAAAAACAAAACACGATTTCTCTCCGTAAAATGTACTTCCCTCCTCCCAAATGGTTGTTGCCTTTCCCCATGCAATAACGATTGACTTGTGTTTTTAGCGGTGGTACAAAGGAAAAGGCAAGTGTATACTGTGACCGGTACTATGTAATGCAAACCAATGCAACTGACCCAAACACCTCATGTATAATGTTAGTATTTGTCAAAACTGCCAGCTTTAGTATTTGAGCTTTACTTGTCTTGACTGAATTTGATGGTACATTTTTCGCGTTGTTCTTTCCAGAGGTTTTATCTAAACTTTAACACTTAAATCAAACAAATCGACTATTTATAGCAAACAGTTCTACTTGATGGAGAAGGCTCTTCTGTTTGAACGAGCTCTGAACGACTCTGAACAGCAGCATGGACTCTGCTGGGTAAATTAATCCGCTCGTAATAATGACATGGAGGTTAAAACGTTGTGTAATCAACAACAGCAGAAAATATAGCACATGAGGTGGAGGTTTGGGTAGTGGGGGGGGGGCAGCAAACAAAAGTGGCAAACTTAAATGCTTTTGTCTGCACTAATGCCGTGCTCTATTTGAGAACGCAGTAGTCATTACTGGACAATCAGATTGCAGTACCCATACGATATCATAAATAGAGACTTTTACATTTTATATTATCATGAAAGAGGTTTGAGGTACTGGACTTAATAGATTCCTGGAGCGGTCTACCGAGAAGAAAAGAGAAGAAAAAGATAGTCACTTTAGTTTTTGTAACCCTCTATTAAAATTCATGGCACTATCATCACCACTGCAAAACCCTCGCACAAAGTGTCAAACGTAAGTGTCTGGTGTGAGAAACATCTAATACTGTGTGTGCCGGTGGGAAAAACAACACACACAAAATGCCTTGATGGAACTCTTGGCGCACATGGACACATTCAGCTCCAGCACCCCCAAACTAATCAGAAGCTACAAATACCTCAAACCCATTTCCCCTCGTTAGTTTATGAGCACACCTACCGCAACTACAGACGCCTCTAATCGTCCAGAAATAAAGTCAGTAAACACGCCGCTGTTTACATATTCAAATACCGTTAATCCCCTTCAATTGTACTTTGAAGTAGCTTAGCGGACTTTTATCAATATAAAGAGCAGAGCTGAGTGTAAGCTACTCGCCAGACTCACAACTCACGTACACACAAAGGGCAGAGGCTCACACAGGGTGCGTGAATTGCACAGAAATGAAAAATAAAGGATGTGGTGAGAGCTGTAGTACCACGGAAACAAACAATGGTTCCTTTTGCTGTCCAATTTGAGCAGTTATGGGAAAATTTGATAATACTTCCTTCACACAGATGGAAGTTTTGCAGATGAAGGTACCCAGAGTTTAATAATATACAACACAAAAGCAGGATACAAATCTGGTTTTCCATTCAGGTCTGTTTTTGAAAGGCTCATGCTGATATAATTCCAACAAACACAAAACTAATTTCAAAGTATGGCAAATATACAGAAGGGATTTTGCAAACTCAGGCTGTTATTTAGAAGCTCAAATTTTGGAGCAGTATGCTTATTTGCTTTTCGTTACCTTTGGAGACAGTTCCCCCTTGTTTACAGTCTTTGTGCTAAGCTAAGCTAACCAGCTTTCAGCAAGAAAGTGAAAAAGCTCATTCCCCAAAAAGTCAAACAACTACTTTAAAAAAGTTGAACCAACACCAAATGCGTTCTTTCATTTAAATCCAGCTGTAACTTTGAATCACTCACGTACTGTACTAAGGTGTAGCTGCTGTTACATGAGTACAGGTGCTGAGGGTGGCAGTAAAAGGAACAGTTACCAAAATATCTGAAGGAACTCGTATCCAGACTTAGCAACAGTGATGACTGCACGGGGCACTTTGGCACTTTTCATTACTTGCTATACCACAGGAGGATACAGCAACTAGCTAATGGATATTTCATCTGAGTTTGTATTTTTTGGAAATTGTGTCAAAGTCAGACGAACTTCATGTTCTTGATGTGTCCAAAACAACCTATGAAAGTCTGAAAGTTCTCATCAAAAGCACACAAAAAACATATGTTTTAGTAAAACATTACATCTAGTAAGACTGTTAGAAAAGAACTCGCCCCAGAACTCCATTTACATTCATTATGATCTGGGCCTTATGGAAATAAAAATAAAATAAGAAACTCAAGAAAGGAATAGCAGAAAATAGCTGTGATAATGTCTCTGTAATAATATCATTTAGACTATAATGGTATTATCTGGATGCCCTGAAATGCTCATCATTCTGCTGTTTTTTTTAATCTTCTTTACACGTGTCAGTTCTTTATCGCATCTTTTGTACACAGCTTTATGCTCACACATGTACATGACCCACTCAGACCAGCCCAGGCTTCCACTGAAGAGGCTACATATGCTGAGCAACCACAACACCAAACCAAACCTCAACCCAGTCCGCATTCACAAAGATTTCCTTTATACTCTTGACCGGCTTCCCTTTCTGTCCTCTAGTGTTCTGGTTGCACGATAAATATGAATGTAACAAGTAAAAAAAAAAAAGGATCAGTTTGCTGTTAAATGTGGACTTGGGTTGGAAATCCTGCGGGAGTAGGTCAGCATGTGCAGAGAAATATAAAATGGATTTTATATGTTGAGACCTTGAACTGTATGTTGTGCTTCCTGTACTCCAACATAAAACATTTATCATAAACCTTTGAATAGAGCTTCTTTAACATTTACAAGTTATACAGTTACCAAATTGGTTTACTTCTTATGCTTCCATCAGCTTTGATACTTAAGCAATGCAAAGGGAGACAACAAGAAGAGAAAGGAAGTTAATTCATCTTCAACGGAAAAAAATAAGAAACAAGACACAAGTCCTCAAAACATTTGTCATAACCAACGATGAACGGAATTTTTCATTTTCTTATTTTCTCTTTTTTACAATACATTTTTCAAAAACCCCGCTGGTTAAGGTTATGGTCTCAGGTAGATCTTCCACAGTCAATCTTCACAGTTTGTGTAAAAGCAGAGAAACATTCTCGCTAGAGTAATAAAATATCATGACTATTATTATGGTCATTATTATCTTTTATTCTCATATTGTTCCATATAAATGGTGGAGGACAGGGGCGAGGCATGTCACCCTAATGAAGAGCCTGCGGTCCCAAAGTTCCTGCTCTGCTCCCTGTACAACGCAATGTTTTATTCAGCAGTTGTTCTTTTGTTTAAAAAATGCTCGCCCGCGGGGAAGGAGAATTATGGGAAGAGAGAGTGGGGTATTCATTCGATGAAGTGTCTTCATCCTCCTGTATGATCTCGTCTTTCTGCAAAAAAAAAAAAAAAAAAAAAAAAGAGCCAGAGCCTCACTGCCACCGTCGCCGCTGTTTTCATCCAAATTGTTTCCAAACCTGGTCTGCCAGCACTGCCTGGTCAGCTGCCCTCACATTGAACTACGCGTAGGCATAGGCAAAGGCTTAGGCGCATGCACACACACAAACACACACACTTGCACGCACACAAACACACAAGCAACTGTCCCATCAGGAGTTAAATCCGGGTGGAGCACAACCCCATGCTCCCTCTGAACACGCATGCCCTCTCCCGTCAGCACTTGTGGGGCAAAAGAAACATGTAGAAAATAGCCCATCAGAGGAAACATGAACAGAGATGTGTTCGATGTTGATTAACACCCAGGCTCACGATTCGGTTTGTAATCTGAAGGCACTTTGTTTCATGGCAGAAAGTAAAGTGGCTTCTGTTCCACAGGCGGACCGCCGACTGAATATTCGAGTCGGGCCTCACTAATCGGACCTTTGTCTGTTCTCTGCCTGTCCCTCCTCTCCCTCCTCTCTGCTCTCCTTCCACCTCTCCCTCTCATGTCAGCTCCTGAGCTTGACCTTCTCTCTGCCCTCCAGTCCAGCTGTCTACACCTCCGCTGATTCCTCCTGCAGTCATTGTTCTGCCACCCTACCCTCGGTTGGCCACTTGGACTCGTGAGCACAGTGTTAATAGATACATAGGCAGCTACAGGGGGGGGGGGGTAAGCAGACGGAACTAAATGTTGCCAAAGTCCTTGTTTTTCTACAGTTCAGCACCAAGCAGATAAAGAAATGCCAAGGTGTGACTTGAGGCCGGACTAGAGTGAAAAACAAGTGTCGGTGATTGGCATCTGGTGCGAGAAAATGAAGATAAAGATACACAGAGAAAGGTCTGATTCCATGTATTTGTAAGCAGGGAAATGCTATTTCCTCTTCAAAAAGTCAGCAGTGTCTATATTCTGCCGCCTTCTAGCGATATTTTCATAACTTCATAAAATTGTTCTTGTGCTTTACAAACTGTCCGTCCTCCTTCGACGCTTGTGAACTCTTTCGGCAAATTCCAGGCGCATTCGTCACCCACCTGTCTTTGTGCTCGTAAAGATGTCCAGAGTCCTGCACCGAGGAGTTGTTTCTGTAAAAGTGGTCTCTTTAAAAAAAATTGCGCATCTTCTTTATTACTTTTTGTGGAACTTTTTTTATCACGATTTTTTTCTCTCTTTCATTAATTTCGGTCCCTCCGAGGTCTGGCAGGGGACCCCTGCTGCTTTCAGGATGCATGAATCTTTGGTGATTGGATGCCGAGGGTACAGTTCACAGACGGTGGGTCTGAATATTCGCCTCTGAGGTGACGGAGAGAAGGGTCACCTCTGACCTTCCAGGAGGGTCATCACCAAGGTGATGCATAGCAGCCATATATGGGAGGACGTGGACGGAGCCTGAGCGCTGAGATCTACAAACAGAAACAGAAAATAATGGTGGAAATTGATTTTATATACTCCAAACAACACATGAACACGTAATGAGCCAATTGTGTTTCAGGGCATAGTTCGCCAATCTTTGGAAAATACATCTATTCACTTTCTTGCCGAGAAAAGAAGAAGATTGAGAAGATGGATAGCACTCTAATGTATGTATGTATCTTTGATAAATATGAAGCCACAGCCAGCAGCTGGTTAGCCTAGCTTAGCATACAGACTGAAAACAGGGGAAACAGCTAGCCTGGCTCTGCTTTCAGTCTCTAAACTAAACTGTCTCCTGTTTCATATTCCACAAACAGACATGAGCGCGGTATCAACTCCCTGCAAGAAACAAATAAATATATTTCCCAAATTACGAAACTATTCCGAATGTAGAACTAACCTGTATGATCAGATCCTAAAACAAGACGAGATAATTCAATTTTTTTCCCCTCTTACATTAAATAAAGTCATATAATATTCATCATCTGAGATTGAAATGCATTATTCTCTGCATGACTCTGTCCTCAGCCTGGGCGACCAATCCCAAAACTCCAAACAAATTAAATCTTGTCGCTCTGAATCATAAATGGATCCATATGAAATGTAACTTGAGCAACAATCTTGCCGTTATAGAAATAATACCTTTTAGATGCCTGCTTATTTTCCTCCAATGACATGAACAATTTAAATAAGATCACCCTGATGCATGTATGGTACACGTTAGAAGGATGTCTCAGTTTGAGGAGCTTCTGGAAAAAAAAAAACATTCCTCCAACCCTAAATAACACGCACGACATCAAATGAACAGCGCTCGTCTGCCTGCCAATATCACTTTGTCAATCGCAGACCATTTGCTCTGTCCCGTTTTCTGTTTTTTCCGTTCCGTTTGTTCCTACAGCGCAATTACAGCGCTCCACTCAGCCGGCGTGGCTATCGCTCATGTGATTACAACACTGTTGCCACGGTAACCCGTGGTTCAATGCCGTTCAAACCGTCTGAGATTGGATCCCCTCTCGTAAATCAATAACCTCGTCCAATGTGGGTAGAGAGAGACAGAACCTGGAGCTCAGATGAAAAGGGGGGCACGGAGGAGGTGGAAGTGCGGTGCTACTCACTGGGCGGCGGGTCTCGACACTCCCCTTCCTCCAGCGTGACATCATCGATGGCGATGTCACCCTCGATGCCTGGTCCTCGGATGCCTTCGAGTACCACCTGCGGAGAGGAAAAACATGTTTGTCATGTTAGATGTTCAGATGTTCAGATTTGATAAGACCACAAAAAACAAGAAAATTGGCACTGCAGAAAGATTACAGCAGGTGGCAAGTGTTTGTTTCAGTCTTTAATGTCACAACATTTAAAGTTAAGAATGCTTGTGATGTTACAGTTAGAAGTAAGAGTGGGAACAAAAAGAGCTGAAACTATAATTACTTTCCACAACTGCAGTCATAAAAATGATTGAGAATATTGCAGTCCTATATTCTCTACTCGCAAAAGAGTAGGCATCCTGATGGCAACGGGTGAGCGATATTGCTTTCACAACAGCAAACAATGTCCACGTCTCTGCTTAATATCACAGCTTGTGAAGCTCCACATCAATATGCCGCCCTCAAGGAAACCAATACTTCAACATACCAACGGAAGGAAATAGAGGGCAACAAGAGGAATGCTGCTGGGTATTGGATTGATTACGTTTCCCGGTCTCACCTGGAAGGATGCTGTCGGATGGATGCTAACTTTTGCCTGCTTCCAGCGGTCACCTTGGTTCCCATTTAACGACCACACGGGACCCTCGGAGGCCGTTTGGCCCTTCTGTTTCAGGAGGGCGTTTAGTGTTCCTGTACGAGGGAGAGAGACAGTTGCACATGAATGTCAGCGTACTCACGCACAAACGCGATTCCAACGCTGTACCGTCAGTGGTTTCCAACCTCCAGGCAGTGGACCCATAGTGGGCCACGGATTCCATGCTACTGGGCCATGTGACAACAATATAACTTCATAAGTTCATGGGAGTACACTACAGGCACATTTTTCAGTCTCCCACTTATTTTTCAAGTAATGTCACGTTTTATTTGTATTTTGAGTAAATAAATAGAGACATTATTATGTCTGGAGCCCTAATCATTTGCCCTATTAAGAACACTATGGCGTTACATTGTTAAGAGAAAAGCTTGTGACAAAATTGTGTTTCGGCAGACTTCTTAGTGAGACCAAGACAGACTGTTGTGCTTACATAATATGGACCCTTCAATTTAAAAAAATAGAGAAAGTAGAGAACAAATCCTAAAAAGATCTGTCAAAAAGAAAGACGACCAATATCCATCTAAAGTATTCTAAAGAACTGTAAAACCAAAAGTGTGAAACTTCAGCGATGCTTCTGTCCTTTTTTTGAAGCATTTCTTCTCCCACATTTGAGATACACAACCACGCAGAGTGTTCAGCTTAGTATTCACACCCGTCTCCTGCATTTCAAATGTATGTATTCCTCTGCATTTGAAGCAGAGCCGAGCAGTAGCAAAGGTTAAACTCGGGTCACATGAATTGATACATCTATTAAGTTGTGATTCTGCAAGCGAAGATAAGTTATTCTCTGGCTTGTATTAATCCTAATTAATTATCACTAATGGGCAATGTGTGATGAGAATTTTCAGAGAGCATAAATACATTCCCTGTAGAGAACAGTTCCTAATGTTTCATTAGCTGCAAACTATTTATGCTCAGTCCAGCTTCTTTCCAGCTACAAGATGTTGGATGTCACTGTCGAGACAAACTCTGCATCTGAAAATGCAATTTGACGGATCCATTTTAAGTGCATTCAGTTAAATAATAACACAGAAGTACTGGCTCCCCTTGTCACAGAATAAGCCATGTACCAGGTCTGAATTGAAGACTCCCCTCAGTGAGACCTCTTGTCTGGCCCTGGGCTTTGATATAAAACTGTCAGATGATGACACAGAGTGCAACCTCTTTTCCCTCCTCTCTTGTTAGTTTTTTAATCGCCATGCAGGGAGAGAGCGAGAGAGCGAGAGAGAGCAGCATCCAAAGACCAGATCAGGTTAGCATTGACACCATATCGAAGCTCAGCAGGACCACTGCTCTGAAGTCAAGTGAATTTTACAAATATGTTAAGCATAACCTTTGCGCTGACATAACTGGTGAGCAAAGAAACAGCAGCGTCTACGGCTCCAACCTCTCTTTTGATGCATCTGTGCCTCGGCGAGGTGCCTCATTACTGTACATCTCTGTGAGGAAACGAGGGGAAGCCACACTGTATGTCACTGTTCATATTCTTTCATCAGCACAGTATACAGTACGCTTTTCCCCCGACGACGGCACAATCTCCAGTGAGAGATGAGCTCTTGCACAGAACATGACCTGCGGTTTCATCTCCCGTTGAAGTGTTTAGGATATAGGAGCATTCTTGCTGAGCCGGCTCGCTTACATTTTTCTTTGAACTCATCGCCATGTAGGTGGTAATGTCAGTGTCATCACATCCTGAGCAAAGGCATATGTTGTCTATTCTTCAGAATACCTTCTTTTTTTTAAGGAAATACCTGTGGCAGACACTTGTGAAATTTAAAAAGATCTGAGAAGAGAAAGACGTGAGTCTGGTGAAAAGTGAGAAGTAGCTCCTGGAAATTTTCAATTATGTAGTGAGGACGAGCGAGAGGGGGATTGAGGTGCAGTACCACCCTCCTTGCTAATGAAAGGATGACTCCATTGCTTCTCAGAAGGTCAGGCTTAAAACAGACTTGCTTGGTGTGCTTTGCTGGAGACTTAATCCGATAAACAAATGCGACACGGGCTCCAAAGGCAAACTTTGATGTGCGCTTCAGTAATTAAGTGTGACCTTGTCTCAGGTATTCCCCCGCTAGCTAACTATGGAGGAGTTTCTTTGAGCCTGTGCCACTGTTCTCATCAGCGTGTGGGCGAAACTCCTTATCGACTGATTCTGGCCTCCAGCGCTGCCGTGCCACAACTTGACTGTGACTCACCTCTGCAGCACAGTCCCTAAGAGCATCAAACTCCCAGCTTCTCAAGACGGAGCTGTGCCAGCTAGAACGGATTACTGAGGATGGCTCGATGGATGCCATAGACATTTTCTACCACTGCCAAAAACTGTAGAGTCACTGGGCTTCTGTCAAAGGTGTAGGTCCAAAACACAAGACAGCTATGTTTGCTGAGAGAGGTGCCCATGGTAGATAACAATGGGAGACATCTGGTGGCTTGGGCCTCCAAACATATGATTCAATGGTGCCATGACCTAACACACATCAGACAAGTATGGAAAAGGTTGTCCGGTTCCAAATGCACCAACACAGGAACCACCATGCATGATTACCAATGTAGAGGCCAGTGTGGGATCTGCATTCGTTTGAGAGGCATTCGAGAGGCTTTAAAGTGTAAATGTAAAATGTAATCTAACTACGAGCTATTTAAAACCCCGGAGACCTCGGGGAAAACAACAGTCCTCTGCAAAAAGAGAACATGCACAGCATATGTGACCATACATTATTTGGTGCATTTGTCATAAGCACTCATTTCTCTGGGTAGAAAATATCACAAACTAACATTCTTTAGTTCTGTGGGTGAATTTCTCTCACGGCCAGAGAGGCAGAATACTAAATGGAGCGTAGCCATGGAGGATCTGAGCTGGGTTTCAAGTCCTTGACATTTAGCCCATTCATCATAACACGCCAGAGTCTGGGCATGGGCTTCACCACAGACGGGGAGGGCAGGGAAGAGAGGGTCTGGCTGGCGATCAATTTGAGCAAATTGGAAATGTCACGGCCTACTCAACCTCGGCAGGGAGCCGGAGGAGCTCTCATCTCCCCGCTGAGGCGCCCTCCAACACCCCTCTCCTTATATTCTCTCCACCTCCCTTGCTTCCACCTCTCCAGATGTTTGGTCCGGCCCCCCACCTGGACACTTCCAGTAGACCTTTCCACTGAGGGCAGCTGAAAAGCAGCCATGCTAAATTTCAGACCATATGGAGTCCTGCTGTCAACTCCGTGTTAAGCTTAAAGCTAGGGTTTCTAGAAATACTTTTCGTTATATTTGTTGAAATTTTCTTTATATCCCAACAGCAATTAATAAATAAAAATAAAAAACATGGCGTCTGTGTCCGTCACAAGCCTTCCCATACACTCATAGCATGTGAAGTGTTCCACAAGGCTAGGGCAGGTTACCACCTCCAGTTCTGCCGAGTGAAGCCAATGCGGAAGAGTCTTAAAACTTGCATAGAGTAAAATAGACCATCAAGCGGAGTATGCTTTAGGGCGGGCTTACCGTGAGTGAAAGGTCGCTGCCGCTACCAGAGCCATAATCATACTCTATGTTGACGTTTACGAGGATAATGTTGCGTGTATTGTGATGTAGGAGGGAACCAACCCAATTAGGACTTTATAGACAAAAGGATACAAAACCGTCTTAAACATAGGTTTGGTATTATTTGCAGAGCTTTTGAGATATTTGAATTGAGTTGTCTGACACTACCGACATACAATGGAGATAATTGGAATCTTACGCATAGTGTGCCAAGCAGCGAAAATTCACATTTTTCAGAAAGCGATTTTCTGATTACTCATAATAATCGATTGAAAGTATTCACACTGAATAAGCACGAGAGCTCACAGTGGTCAAATTTGTCGAAAAACACTTCATGTTTCAGACCGCAGTTCACTTTCAGCTGTGAAAAGAAAACGCATTTTACTCAATAGAACAATCTGTGAGCCAGCGTTTGTATTATTCATGCAAATACGAGTCATTTAACAAACTTCAAAGGGAAATAAAATAGCTGGAATGACATAAGATCCACAAAAGAAGACGTGGCTTATAAAGATATATAAGCCAGTTTACTCAAAGAGGGAGAGAAAAGAAGAAGAGAGGAAGCTGAGTGGGTTGCTCTTGGAGCAGCAGGTCCAGCAGAAGCTCAGAGCGGAGCAGGTGGAGGGTGGAGATGGCGCCGATTCCACCGATGTCTCAGTAGAATACTGAGGTAAATGCAGCCAAATGCTCACGGTAAATTTCTTATCAAAAGAGAATTGAGTGCAGTTGCCAGCCTGTAGTGATTTCACAGTTTATTGAACATCAAGTTTGATGAGCACGAAACTGCAAGTCCCTCTCCCCTCATTGGGTTCATTCACTATCATTGCTTTGTTGTGTTTGTTGTCTTTGTTTGTTTTTGTTTACTCGAAAATATTTTTAGGGAAGTAGTATTTTTAGTTAACTGGATATTTTTGTGGTGCACTCTCTTGGTGTCATTGTCATTGAAAACATATTTTTCAATCAGCTTCTTACCAAGAGTGACGAGGTCCCCCATGAACACAAACAATCTGACAACTTTCTGTATTTATTGTTTCTTATTTTTTAAATTTTTTTTTACTGGTTTGTTGTTGGAGAGCCAAAGTTGGGAGAAGGCGATGTCGTGTACTTCCAAGCACCAACCAGGATTTGGCAGCATTTGAATCAGAATGTGATGACAGTTATTGGGGTTGTTTGGTCGCTGTCAATTAAATCTGATCAAACCACACTGGAGCAGATTAGCTGAAGTTTTGAGTGTTTAACTCTCAATGAATAATACTGAAGGATCTTTTCTTTTCACTTTAACTTTGACTTTCTCAATTAGTCATGAACATTTATTGCTATTGAGAGAAATTTAGAAAATATCGGACTTTGGCAAGTCCTAGTGCATATGTACAGAGAGACACACTGTATACCCGTCACTGTACGTGTCGGCCTTTAATTTCCACACAGACGGTGCCTCAAGGCTCCTGTGCTTATGATCTATCTGGGGATTGAAGCATCAATGCCAAAACAGACCAGAGCTCCTCAACCTTGGGAACACCGCGAATGTGCTGAGTGGTTCGTGGAAGGTTTATGAGACACATTGACATATTTTATTTTAACAAGAAACACATTAAAAGGAAAGGTTTCAATCATTCCAGAATTCCACTATGATTTGTGAAGTGACGAGCCAGACAAAACTGAGAAGCCTTTTCATAATCACAAGTTTTAATTTTTGCTATTATAGTAAATGCTTTTTGCAGTGGTTCGAGTGCACAGCATCACCTTGCTATCTAACAAACTGCTCTTATGCCAAACAGCATCCAGCCCCCATGATACCAAGACGATCCCGCAGCCCCACCCAACAGTGCCCCTCACCCGCCTCATGAACCTGTGCAGGAGCTAATGATACTGGGTGAAGGCGAGACAGAGAAATCACCAATAGAGGCTGTCAACAATGTATAAGCTTGCTGTTTTTGTACTAGATATCCAATCTTTCTCCCCACTCCCAAATGTACAAACACACACAAAAAGCATGCACTCAGAGCTGGAGCGCCTGCGAATCGGCTGATTGGGTCCCCGGTGAAGAAAGCCTAAGAGTCAGACGTTAGCCACAGATGGCTCCTCCAGTCGCTCTGCCATCTTCAAATGGGCCATACAAGGTTGTTATCTACATTCAGAGAGGAATGTATGAGCTAATGCCCAGGATTTGTGAACACACCTTTGAAGGGGTTTGTTGCAAAAATGAGATATCTTTTGCTCAAAACATCAGACAGCTGCACTTACAAAATTTTAGCATGAAAGCACAAAAGTCCCCGCTGCACCTGCCATGGGGACAAACTGTGTGAAATGACTGAAATTCTGTTGCTTGCAGGAAAAAGTGCCGCCGTTCTCCCTTGTAAAAACCCATGTAGGTGGCAGACAGCAATTTTAAGAATCTCTTCTCTCTCGTTATGTCTCAAAGCCAGTTGTGATGTTGTGCCACAGATGCTTGTCGATGGACTTTTTTTGGTAAATAAAATGTGTTGTTTCCTCATTGACTGTTATTTAGTTCTGCATAGATGAGAACGCATCTCCTTCATTTAGCAGAGAATTGCCAAAGCAATTTAAGTTCCACTTTAAGTTGCTTTTGCTGCTTAAGCAACCAAAAGCACAGACAAGTGACATATTCTTTAAAAATGAGTGCAATTATCCTTTTCTTCATCAGTCTCCATGAACCATTGAGCAATGAATATAAATGAAGATGATCTTTTCAGCAGTGGATAAACTGTATGGCAGATTAAACCCAACAGCAACACGGACGTTTGTTACAACAGACGGGGGACAATGAAGTGCCTGGGGAATGTATCTTACCTATGTGTTTTCCATACATGTGGTAGAAGAAGCCGAAGCAGTAGGCAGGTGGGTTGGTGATACCGTAAGGGTTTTTAGGGGCTACGTTGAAAAATGGACTTATGAGCCGTGCTTGCTCCCCATCCTTCCGTGGCCTTGATGTCTCAATGTACATGTAGAAACCTGGAAACACAGGGACACATAAAAACACATAAATACCTAAAATATAACAAACTGCAATGGACTTTGTTCATTGAACATTTAAACATTTGAACATTTAAAGAAGAATTGTAGTTCATTACAACTTAGGTGTTATTTTGTAGCTTTGGTCATCACTTATTTCAGTTTGGTTAACTTCATATACTCAACCCAGATTTACTAAACCACTTTATTTGAAGGTAAAACCAAAGGTAACTACATCCTGAATTGGTAATAATCCATCATTGCACACACACAACTGTGTGCACACGGTTTAAAAGGAAGGTTACACAGACAGTTTGGGTTTTTCAATTGCCTTCGCTCTTCCAAAGACATCTGGTTTGTTTCAAACAAACTGTTGTCTGATTGCTGCTCATGTTTCTTGTACCGTCGACACTTTTCCAGATGTCAGTTATTATTACCTATAGGACAAATGTATGTAGTAGTAGAGTATAAAGAGTATCTGAAAAAATGCCTTGTGGATATCCTGAGGACAAAGTCATTGTGCCTCACTGAGAAACAGTTGATTTACCCTTTGAAAGAATATGAGAGCTTTTTTCAGGCAGTGTTCAGACTCCCTGAATGCCTACTGATACACCAGCAAATCATTTGTCACTGCAAACAGCGAAAAAGCGAGGCATCAGTGGTCATTCTCAGTTGCTTTTTCAGCCGGTCAGTGATAGCATGATGGGAATGAAACCTTCCATATCAGAGATAAGGGGGCAGGGCTTTCTACGAAGGACAGTTCTCCTTTTACTTATGGCAATGACCCGGGGCGAATCGAGGCGATAACAATGGGGTTACATTGATGCTCCCCCGGTCTGACAGTCGTGGACAGCAGCGGTGGCGGCAGCGAATAACTAACAGACCTCTGATTGCGTCTGAGCCGCACGCTCTGAAGCCAAACTCTGTGCTGCCACAGGGAAGGTAGCTGGTGAGCCGCTCCACGCCCCTCCAGCCAAAATCAAATGGAATATCTCCCTCAGTTGAATCTCATATCAGATAATTTCACGCAAAGAGGAATGGGCATGATAATGAAATGCTGGACATTTTGAAACAATTAGGTGATTAAAGCCGATGCATTATTTACTGCTTCAGCTGGCGCTGGTGCCACAGCACCATAATAGCCACTTATACTCCAGCACAGATACTTTCCATCAGCAGATTCATATAAAATCCTGAGACAGATCCCTGCAAATCCAATTATATTAATTCTTTATTTATCAAGTTCTTGAATATTGAATACCTGCACTGGTAACTCACATATTGAATACCACATTCTATGCAGTATTCCCTGGTTTAGGTACCCATGGAAACAGCAACCCAGTTACAAGTTGATCAAGGCTGCTCACTGTTAGATTGTGCTGCGTCAAGCAATCGATGACACAATGAGTACAGCTGAAAGCATCTACTATGCAGCTGGGAACACTAATCTTTCTTTATTTCCACACGTCAAAAAAGTGAAATGTTAGCATATGTGTAGCGACGCAATGCCGCTAATTTACCCCATCATTCAGCAATACCGTGATAGTTTGCCACTGCACTCTGGGGATTCATGTATTCATGCATGGATTACATAAGAAAATACAGAGTGGTGTCCATTTAAAGTGTGTGCATTTAACCAACATTTTTCCAATCCAATGAGCAGCTGCAGTGTTTTCAGAGCCCCGCTGACAGCTGGCAAAAATAATCGCTTACACACACACACACACACACACACACACACACACACACACACACAC